CCTGTTTCTCCGATCTCTGTCTCTCACGTGTAATTATTTACCCTTTTTGAATTACAAGCATCGAATTTCTTTATTGACATTTATTGCATGCGTTACGTTTCTCTTGAAACTTGAGACTTCTCGTTGGGAACACGAGAGAAAGAAAAGAACTAATAACTACTACGGACCATTCACTAAACTCCTCTCAATCGTAATTAACCCGTCAAGTTTTTCTAATGCCGATACCGGACCCTAACAAACCGGAACAACATGAGGGTTGGTGTCCGCTCGGTGAGAATCTTTTTATATGGGAATAATTGCTACTCGTGGCCCGTGCGCGTAAAATATAATTCTATTTATCCTGTACGATGAACCAATAAGTGGCAAATACACGAAAAAACAGTAAAATACATTAAGATCGTTTCGAAGAAAATTATAGAGCACCGTACTGGCCACGAAATCGTCGTTTTCGTATATCCTGCATGATACGTATCTGTCCGTGTGTACATACGTTTGCTTCTCCTCGCAACGAATTTATATCGTGTGATTGTACAGCTCGTTTTTGCGTGTGACCGAGTGTATGAGTGCGTTCTGTTTGAACTCGCGTTCGTGTTTGCGTGTGCGCGTTAAACAGCATGATTGATCTCTGTAATCTCGCGCGAACTTTTCTCAAACAAAATTCCAACCGCGGTCGCGTAGTTTCATCATCTCCGCGTCATTACTTCCTTTTCTGGTCATTGTCCGTTTCATTCATACGTCGTCGCTGATTTGTTGGTACCTTTTCTCGATATTTACCGCGATCTTCGTATTCCACCCCTTGTCAACGTTGATGTTGGAAGTTGGAAGTTGTCGAGGTTCTCTGTAAGACATTCAGCTCTATCTTTAAGAATTCTGCGATGTAGGAATGTAATAACTTGGGATTTAGTACTTTCGAAATTGAATACTTTAGTCATTAGAGCGTTTAATCATTCGGGAACTAAGTAATTTGAAAGTTCAATCATTTGGGAGTGCAGTAATACAAGTATGGTAACTTATAAATTCAATTGATCTTAGTGTGCACTACTTTGGAAGTGCGGTATCGTGAAACTAATCAGTATTCCGAAACTCCAATTAAACAACTTGCAACGTCAGCGCTGCATACGCATGCCACCCCCTGTCTTAGAACGAATTCGCGCGAAGCGTAATTAACGGGAGAAACAGCACCGATAAATCGACTTTACATTCCATTCATCATATATCACATTACTATTCGGGATCGATGCAAATCAAAGCGGTTCTCCGACACACGACAGTACAATGTAACGTAATTTGTTACTCTCTCACCGAATGATTTATTTATTATTTTTCTACACCCAACCCCGTACTCTTTTTACCAGAACAATCGTTCTATAATACACTGTATTTTTTTCTCTTTTTGTTTTTCCACCGTACACTCGCACACAAACATACCGTGTACGCCGCTGGCAACGCTCTAACAACTGTCGCTGTAATACTGTCGCCTACTACTTTTACTGCCACTGTCATCTCTGAATTCTATATTTCACTTTCTCTCTCTCTTTCTCTCTCTTTTCTCTATCTCGCTGCTCCTATTCTGTCCGCGCATCCGCGCCAATAAAAATATACTCTCGTCGTTTCTACGCTCTAACAACCGCGCATGTACGCTGCTATTTTGCGTATATCTATTTCTAATTGTACCTATACGCTTTACTAATTATTATACTATCTGCCCCTTTCGATCGCTCTGATTTGTACTATCGTACCACCCAATTTCTGCTAAATGACAAAACGATATTTAACAATTATCTATCTCGCGGCTGCCCGTTAATTATCTGCTCTATGCCTATCGCATATCTTTATTCTCCCCTTCTTCTTTCCCTCCGTGCTCTGTCGGTTGTTGCTGTCTGTCTCTGTCTCTGTGTCTGTCTCGCCATCTTCCCTGCTATCTATTCAATTCTCTGCCTTCGAATCTTTGAATCTTTGAAAATTTGAATCTTTGAACCATTGAATCTTTACGTTTTTAAACCTTTGAATCACTGAATCTTTAAATATTTGAACCATTGATTCTTTAAATCTTTGAACCATTTAATCCTTAAATTTTTGAAACGTTAAAACATTGATCTTTGAATTTTTGAACCGTTGAATCTTTAAATCTTTGAAACGTTAAAACATTGATCTTCGAATCTTTGAAACTTCCTTAAATTCCTCCGTAATTTTGAAACATTGAATTTTTCAATCTCTCTATTCTGTCTCTCTACCTCGCTACCCGACTGCCTGTCTATCTTTCCGCCCCTCTGCGCCTCAATCTTTCTGTATTTATCTGTACAAAATACATATTCTTCTGTTACTCTCGCCCTCTAAAAAACAATCCCGGCATATAACGTCCCGTAACCGGCTTTCGTTCTAACTTGCGTGCACGCAACACACCACTGTAGCCAAGGGAAGAACGAATATCGAGCTGCGAGAGCAATTCATACTGGCGGACGGGGTCAGCCAGACAATGACTGCGTTCAAGTCGAAGCCGAGCCCGACCTCGACGCTGCAGCGTACGCAAATCACATCCGCGAACGCAGGACCCATCACCAAGGTAAACGTCGCCAATCCAATCGCGTCCTGTCCAGAATGGATCGTAATCCAGACCGTCGATCGCTCGACAAGTCGCTCAGCCTTCTTCCGTCGCGAGTTTTCGATGTCCTCGATCACGATCCATCCGGGGACTACTCGTTTATCTCTCACAATCTTTCTCTTTTTCTTGATCTTTCGCGATTCTTCCATGGGATTCGATCTCTCCGATGATCCGCGGAGAGATTAGACACGATTGATCGTTCGTCGATCTCTGCAAACGATCGATCAACGATCGATCATAGGATGGGAATCGTTTTTGTCAGAGGAAGTGTACTCGGGATGGTTCTCCTTCAACAATTTGGAGACTAATTGCTTTCTTTCTGGTATCGACGTGCATTAGAATGGCTTATCAGTTCGTTGCATTTACTTCTTCGAAATTTCTAAAATTCTCATGCACTCAATCTTTATCAACTCTTACAATTATCTACTCTTCGTGTCCTTCAATCTTCCGAGCAACTTGTTCAAAAACTACTTCCAGTTTATATACATCATACAATAGCTATAAATTTCATCCCCCAATTGGATATACTACTCGATCTCCTCGTAAACTTCTATTTCAACCAAGCTTATCCCGAAGAAATTCCGCATCTCTCAATACCAAGAAGAAAGCAACTCCGAATGGTACGTTGGTCTCGTGGCCAATCGACGAGTCGAAGTCTCTCACGAAAGAAACTGGCAACGTCGAATTACCGGAGGGGTGGTTCGATCTCGATCGTCAACGTCGCACGCATCATACTACCCTCGATTCTGAACCCTCTTTCTCTCTTTCTCTCTGTCTCTGGTCTTGCCTAGTCGAAGATCTCTGTCGCTAGTCCACTGTAAGGGTAAGTACCAAGAACAAATCAGTTCAGGAGTATACACCTAGCCTCCTGGCGAGCAATTTATCTTACACCCTCGCATGCCAGCATGTCAGCTTTAGACAAGGTAGCAGTCGTCGCACCTAGAGCTACCCTCAAGCACCAAAGAGGTAGTCGCTTCAGTCAGCTCTCTCACCGATTCGGTTTCCATTCCCGAGCCCGTCCCCCACGATTCCTTTTCAGTTCTCAACCCCGCCCCACCCCCCTCGCACTGTATCGTCCCTTACAGCCCTTAAGCCACGCTGATCTGCGTCTTCGAATCGGTAGAATTTTGTTTCCGTGAGTCGAGCCCCGGCCGCCGCCATCGGGGCCGAACAGTCACCTCAGGAGATGCGATTTCACGAGACTGTCGTGTGTGTCTATTGTCCACATTGTTTCTCTTTATTTCTCTGTTTTTCCTTTTAGTTTATTTTTTTACCTCACGGATGTTCTCTCCGCGAGGACGAGAGATCACGGGGATCTCGAGGATCCCGTTGCACGAACGCGGCGTCCTTGGCGGGGTGAACGAGCAGCTTTCGAGCGAGATTATTTAACCATTTCCGACGCGAGAATTTTAACGAGTTCAATTCGAGAGGGTAGCAATCGGTAGATCGGGGATATTTGTGCATCAAGGTTTCATTTGCATCGTTCGAACGAAGATTGTTAAACCGAAGTTAGATGGAATTAAGGGATGATACTGTTCTCTATACTTTAATCCCGAGATCAATGAGGTTTCGGCTGAATTCGAAAGTCTTTAACCTTCCTTCGCAGGAGTAACCGATGAAAACCTTGAATTCTAATTAATGATAGTAAAGTTTCTCGACAGTTGCTCGACACGTTGCTCGAATGCTCGGTCGTTCGCCCGGCCGCCGGGACGGTCGCGTGCAAATAAAAAGAACAAGACGGTTCGCAACGCACGCGCGTTCGTTGCATTTCCTTAAACTTTTCGTTTGTGGTGTAGCGGAGGAGTTTATGAGCCAGCTGACGCCGATATTTGAGAGTTTGAGGCAAAAGGAGGACCTCCCGTGCTCGTATCCCCTCCACATGCACGCCCCCTCTTATCATTGGGTAAATAAGAAACTCTCTATTCTCTGAA